TTTACTGCATCCCATTTTAGTATGTTGTGTTTTCATTTGTCTCAGGATTTTTTTTTTTTTTTTTAAGTAGGCTACATGCCCAGTGTGAGGCTTGAACTCACCATCTCAACTTCAAAAGTTGCATGCTCTACTGACTGAGTCAGCCAGGTACCCCTGTCTCCAGATATTTTTTAAATTTCCTGATGTAGTTTTCAACTCATTCATTGTTCAAGAGTATATATTGTTTAATTTCCACATATTTCTGAATTTTCCAGTTTTCTTTTTGCTTTTGATTTCTGGGTTTATTCCATTGCTGTTGGAAAAGATACTTGTTATGATTTCTGTCTTAAATCTAAAACCTGTTTTTGACTTAACATGTAATCTGCCCTAGAGAATGATCTGAATGTGTTAAGAGGGTGTATTCCCTTCTGCTGCTGTAAGGTGGAATGTTCTGTGTATGTCTGTTAGGTCCTTTTGGTCGGTGGTGGTGTTTGAGTCCTCTGTTTCCTTCCAGTTTTCTGTCTGAATATTCTGTATCTATTTTTGAAAATGTGGTATTGCCATCTTCTATTATTGTATTAGTGTTTATTTCTTCCTTCACTTCTGTCAGTGGTTGATTTAATATTTAGATGCTCTGATGTTAGGTACATCAGAATAAATACAGAGATGTGTTTATAATTGTTATATCTTCTAGGTGGATTGACCCTTTTATCATTGTCTCTTATGACAGTTTTTGACATAAAGTCTATTTTTGTCTGCTATAAGGTTAGTCCCCTTCCTCCTGCTGTCTTCTGGTTACTATTTGCATGGAGTATCTTTTCCGTCCCTTCACTTTGAGCCTATGTGTGCCCTTAAATCTAAAGTGAGTCTCTTGGGGTGCCTGGGTGACTTAGTCGGTAAAGCGTCTGACTTCAGCCCAGGTCATGATCTCATGAACCGTGAGCTCGAGCACCCCTTTGGGTTCAGTACTCACAGCTCAGAGCCAAGAGTCTGCTTTGGTTCTGTCTCCCTCTTTTTGCCCCTCCCCTGCTCATGCTCTGTCTCTCTGTCTCTCTGTCTGTCTCTCTCTCTCTCAAAACTAAAATTTAGGGGCGCCTGGGTGGCGCAGTCGGTTAAGCGTCTGACTTCAGCCAGGTCACGATCTCGCAGTCCGTGAGTTCGAGCCCCGAGTCGGGCTCTGGGCGGATGGCTCAGAGCCTGGAGCCTGTTTCCGATTCTGTGTCTCCCTCTCTCTCTGCCCCTCCCCTGTCCATGCTCTGTCTCTCTCTGTCCCAAAAATAAATAAACGTTGAAAAAAAAAAAAAAAAAAAAGAAAAAAAAACTAAAATTTAAAGTGAGTCTCTTGTATGCAGCATGTAGTGGAATCTTTATTATTTAAAAAAAATTCAGCCTTTGTCTTTGGGGAGTTTAATCCATGTACATTTAAAGTAATTATTGATAGGGTAGGATTTACTGTTGCCATTTTGTCTTGTTTTTGTGAGTGGCTTTTAGGTTTTTTCCCTCTTTTCATTTCTTGCTGTCTTCCTTTGTGTTTCCTTGTTTTTATGTAGTGACACACTTAAGATTTCTTTCTCATTCTTTTGCATATCTTCTGTAGATATTTTTATTGTGGTCACCATAGGACTTACATAAAAGATCTTGTAGCCATCTATTTTAAGCTGATAACAACTTCAATCACATACAAAAACTGTTTTTGCTTCTCCCTGCCCCCCCCACCCCAGCACTTTCTTAACTCAAATAAGTCATTTAAAATTTTTGTACATAAGGGTTTTTTTTTCCTGTAAAAATAGGAATAATAATCTATTGTTAAAAAAATTTATTTTGTTAACCCAGGGGTTCTCAAAGTATGGTTTGCACACCCATAGAGTCCCTGAGAATTTTTCAACAGGTTGCATGTAGTCCAAACTGTTTCCACAGTAATTCTGAGATGTTATTTGTCTTTTTCACTGTGTTGACCTTTGTAGTGATGGTGCAAAGGCAATTGTGGGAAAACCTGCTGGCCTTGGGCCAGATTGTAATCGTCATTTTGTGCTGCTACATACTCCCAATAAAACTAAGTGCCGCTTTTACTGAAAGATGTCTTTGGGGAAGTAGATAATTAACTTTATTAAATCTAAACTCTTGGGTGCATGTATTTTTTAAGATGTAAATGTTTTTATTTTATTTTTAAGTTTTTAAAGTCGAGTTCGTTAACTTACAGTGTAGTATTAGTTTCAGGTGTGCACTTCTGTACAAAACCTAGAGCCCATCACAACATGGGTGTATGGCTTTGTTTTTGTGAGCTGAATTAGCTGCTTATTTAATGGAATACCATTTTTACTCCAAAGAATGACTACGGTTACAGACTTGGGTATTTGCCAGATATTTTCTTGGAAATGAATGAATTAAGCTTGACATTTCACGGAAAACAGCTGACAGTATTTGCCCGTGGGTAAAGTTTGAGCTTTTCAATGAAAATTAGAATTTTGGAAAACTCGTATTCACCACCCTATGCTTTGACAGCTTTGAAGAGTGTTCTTATAAGATGTTTGTGATATTAATGATGTGATTTCTTTTTTTATACTATATGATGCAGGGCATCAACATTTGAAAGGTCTACATAAGTCAGTGAACCAATATTTTCCAAAATATTCCAAAAAATTTACGTCGGGGCACCTGGGTGGCTCAGTTGGCTAAGCATCCAACTTAATCTTGACTTAGGCTCGTATCATGATCTCAAGGTTTGTGAGAGTGAGCCCCGCCCACATTGGGCTCTGTGCTGACAGTGTGGAGCCTGCTTGGGATTCTCTGTCTCCCTCTCTCTCTGCCCCTGCCCTGTTCTCTCGCTCTCTCTCAAAAATTAATAAATAAGCATTTAAAAATTTTAAAAATATGTATATATGATGTAATAAAATCATGAGTAAAAGGTCTCCTAACATGGGAGATACACCATTGGATTTTAATATAACAGACAAGTTCACTGATAGGGTTTGCACTTCTACCATTCTAACTTACCGTTAAGAAACTACCACTGTCACATTTGGGTGTAGTATCAAAGAAGAATTTATCCACAGTGATCTCAAACAGCCATTAAAATACTCCTTTTCCCATCTCTGCCTATCTGAGGCAAGAGTTTCTTAATATAGGTAAAAGGAAACCCATTCTTCTATTCACAATACTTGTGACACCAAACATGTGGGCTTTCCACACCAAGCACTTCTCCAGTTCTCTCTGTGGTCAGTAACTGGGGGTCCTACTGTTCAATTCATTCTGGCCATAACTACCCAGAGTTAGCGCAGACCTCACAGGTTAAGGGCGCTGTTCCACAAGATTGCCTCCCACTTCAGATGCCAGTCGCAAGTCCCAACTACATTTGTCACCTGTACTTCTGGCCAACCAGCTATAAATGTGGGATTTCCACAGCCTCTCCTCAGGTTCTGTAATCTCTTATGATAGCTCACAGAACTTTGGGAAACATTTTATTTACATTTATTGGTTTATTTTAAAGTACATCAAGGGGTGCCTGGGTGGCTCAGTTGGTTAGGCGTCTGACCTTTGGTTTCAGCTCAGGTCATGATCTCATGGTTTGTGAGTTTGAGCCCCACGTTGGGTTCCAGGCTGACAGCATGGAGCCTGCCTGGGATTCTTTCTCTCCCTCTCTCTCTACCCCTCCCCTGCTTGCTCTCTCTGTCTCTCAAAATAAATAAACTTAACAAATAATAAGTACATCATAAAGCATGGAAACGAACCACCAAATGAAGAGGTGTATAGGGCAAGGTCAAGAAGATCCCAAGTACAAAGCCTTTGTCTCTGAGGGGTTGGGGGTGTGCCACCCTCCCAGCACATAGATGCATTCACCAACCTGGAAGCTCTGAACCACTTCATTTAGGGTTTTCATGGTTCTACAACATGGGCATAATTGATTAAATTATTAGCCATTGGTGATTAACTTGATGATCCCCAGCCCCTCTACCCTCCCTGGAGGTTGGGGAGTGGGGCTGAAAATTCTCGTTCTGTAATCACACAGTTTGTTCCTCTGGCAACCTGCCCCATTCTGCAAGTCACCTCATTACCATAAACACTCCTGTGGTTGAAAGGGGCTCATTATGAATAACAAAATATGCTCCTCTCACCCCTGCTGCTTAGGAAATTCTAGGGGTTGCTTTTAGAAGCTCTGTGCCAGAACCAGAATGAACAGTGTGTGTGTACACGCACCAGCACATTAGAATATACTTCAGCCAACACAGAATAGTACGGCAGATTGAATGCCAAGGCAGATCATGAAAGTCCAGCAGTTTGCTATCAAGACAGAGCGTTGCAAAATGTAAAACAAAGCCCATTTCTCACTGATTTTTTCAGTTTGCAAAATCTTTTTTTTTTCCACATAAAAAATACTGTTTATGTTAACTTACAACAGATTTAATATTGTTAATTTTAACCGAATCAATAATTTTCTTATTTTTTATTTCTCATATGTTAATACCTGTAGATAAAACTCACATTAACAAAAGCTCTTTAGGTTCTTCAATTTAACTTAAGGTTGCAAAGAAGTCCTGAGACTAAAAAGCTTGAGATCTGTTGTTTTAACCTTCTAGGGTTGTTGAAAGTCGAACGAAGGTATTCATAAACCTGAAATCATTTTGTAAAATATTTAAAGTGCAGGTTTATAAATGATTTTGCAGTTCCTGCTGTTAACATTGCTGAGCAAGTCCCTTACGTTGAGATTTTGGAGAAGAGACATGGAAAGAGGACATGCATAAATAATTGCTGTTAAGGAGCAGTTGGTTAGTTTAGAGGAGGAATAGGGGGCGGAATTCAGGCGTAACTTCTCTGTTCCACAAACCAAACGGCGAAGAAGCAACAGTGTTTTCTCCCGTACATATTTTTTTATATATTTATATTTGCAATAAACGTGGATGTGTTTGTGTGTGTGCACGCACACGCTTGGGCATACAGCAAACAGCCCCACTGTTCATGATTGTAGCCCATTACTGGTCCAAGTGTGCTTTGAATTTTGAAGTTGTCCCCTTCTTCCCTTGCAGGCATAGAACAAGATGCAGTGAATACTTTTACCAAATACATATCTCCAGATGCTGCTAAACCAATACCGATTACAGAAGCAATGAGAAATGACATCATAGGTAAGCAGTGCTTGAAGCTATGGCAAAAAAAAAAATAATGCCTGTTTTTGGTTATTACTTAAGAGAATCTTTTATGAAAATGGAAGTCAACATATCCCTTCTTAGTCTGTGTTCAGAGTACTTTAGTATATCAACTGTAGCTCACTTAAAAATTTTCTCTTCATACGTCAGATGTAAATTCTTGGACTTTGGCTCAAATAACAGCAGCAGCAAAAACAATAGTGACACTCAAAAATGTTGAATTCTTACTGTGTCCCAGACAGCATTATAAGCACTTTCTGTGGATAAACTCTAACCTTCTAAAAACCTGTAATGTAAATACAGTTACTATTTTATAAATGAGAAATCTGAAGCACAAAGAGGGGATTTAATTATTTGTCCAAGATAACACACCTCAGACATAGCAGACTCAGGATTTGAAAACAGACCGCTACAGGGGCACCTGGGTGGCTCAGTCAGTTAACTGTCTGACTTCAGCTCAGGTCATGATCTCGTGGTCGGTGGGTTTGAGCCCTGTATCAGGCCCTTGTGCTGACAGCTCAGAGCCTGGAGCCTGCTTCGGATTCTGTGTCTCCCTCTCTCTCTGCCCCTCTCCTGCTCATGCTGTCTCTCTCTCAAAAATAAAAACATTAAAAAAAGAAAAGGCGAGAAAATAGACCACTACACGTTGACTGGTATGCTATTTGGCAGTGTTTTTCATACTGTAAATTCATACTAGTCTCCTCTTATGACCACACCTTCCTGCCAAAAAAAGACTAGAATAGAAAAATGAAAGTGCTTCACAGTAGTAAGGGCAAACCTCATTTCAGGAAATTGTTTTCATCATATGTTTATGTATGTATATACTATGTCATGTAAACCTATTTCTCTGTAGGTCATAGTAAAAAAAAAAAAAGAAGAAGAAAGTTTTTACTCTGTTGTATAAGAAGGACCTTAGAGGCACCTGTAATCACAGATGAAAGTGATTTGTTTATTCATTAAACAAACATTTATTATGTTCCCATCAAGTCCTGGTACTGAGTTTTATATTTTTATTACAGAAACTTGATATTTTTGATTTATGAAATATAGCATGTTATTCTTCTAGCAGATTCTTCCCAGCATGGGGCTCTTTCAGTCTTTATCACAGATACTTTGCATTCATTCATTATTGGAGACAGCAAAACCTTTTCCTGTCTAAACTGTAGTTCTTAATTTGGCCCACCATACTTTCCAGTGAACAACTGTTGACTATTTTAGGGCTTGTCAGATGTTGGCCCCATTGTTTTCCTTTTGTTTCTCCCACACAGATAGACTCTTATACAGGTCTTGAGGCTGTTGATTGTCCCCATTTGCTTGTATTTTCGGTTTTCACCCAGTTTTGTTGCAAATGTTGTCTTTGGAATTTGGCCTTTCTATGCAGTTCCTCTATTTTTATGTGGGAATTTGTTACAACCATCTTCCACACTTCTCTAGACCAGCATTTCCTCTGCAACAGGACAACTGGGGTGTGCTCACTGATTAGAATTTGGCTATTCGAGATATTGATTGGCTAATGATTCCTTTGGGGATTTGTTTGTGCCAGTGAATAACCAAACTATGCAGGGGTAGGGGAGAAAAGGGGGGGGGGGGGGTTTCAAGTAATATATTTAAAAATGAAATATCACTTCAATTATTTTCTTTCCTTTTCTTTATCAAAGTAATGATATAATCCCGTGAGGGGAAAAAAATCTTTTGAAGTATAAGTTGGTAACATTTAGTGATCAAGAGATCTGAGAAAGTTAAAATGTTAATTACCTATGTTTTTAGACCATTTTTCTTCTTTGAACCTCATTCTTCTGAATCCTACCCCGTTTTCTTCTCTTTCGGTTAGAATATGCGTTTTTTTCTTTTTTAATGTTTATTTATTTTTGAGAGAGAGAGAGAGAGCACAAGCGACAGAGGGGCAGAGAGAGAGGGAGACACTAAATCCAAAGCAGGCTCCAGGCTCCGAGCTGTCAGCACAGAGCCCGGTGCGGAGTCGAACTCTGAGCCATGAGATCATGACCTGAGCTGAAGTCAGATGCTCGACCAACTGAGGCACCCAGCCGCCCCTGGAATACTCTACACAGCTCTACTTCAAGTACATCACAGTTGCAAGAAGTCTGCACTTAAGCTGTTATTGTGTATCCCACCTGCCTAGTTTGGTTGTAAATGTTATCCATGGGTTTCTGGTATTAATGGCTCATTACTCCCTGTTTATATGGGGACTCAGAATAACCCAAAAACTGTGCTTCCACTGCTTCCTTCATCTTCTGCAAATCCTTGAAGTGGTAGAATTTTAAAGATATTTTGAAGGTATAGCTGATAGAATTTACTGATGGTTTGAAGTTGAGTAGTGTGAGAGGGGAAAAAGGCATTAAGCATGACTTCATGTTTGTTTGTTTGTTTTTCAAACCTGAATAATGGGGCACCTGGGTGGCCATCAGTTGAATGTAAGACTCTTGATTTCAGTTCATGCCATGATCCCAGGGTCATGGGATCAAGCTTTGCTTCGGGCTCCGTACTGGGCTTGGAACCTGCTTGAGATTCTCTGTCCCTTTCCCTCTGCCTCTCTCCCCCTGCTCGCTGGCTCATATGCTGTCACTCTCTCAAATAAACAAACAAACCTGAATAAGAGAGTGGAGTTATCATTTATAAACTTGAAAAAAAAATTTTTTTTAACGTTTATTTAGTATTGAGAGACAGAGCACGAGCAGAGGAGGAGCATAGAGAGAGGGAGACACAGAATCCGAAGCAGGCTCCAGGCTCCGAGCTGTCAGCAAAGAGCCCGACATGGGGCTTGAACTCATGAACTGTGAGATCACGACCTGAGCCGAAGTCGGTCGCTTAACCGACTGAGCCACCCAGGTGCCCCTGGAGTTGCCATTTATAAGATGAGGAAGACTGTGAGGGTAATGGCTTATGGGGAAAATCAGGAGTTTGGGTGTTCACTAAATGGTGAATGTCAAGTATGCAGCTGGATATCTGCACTAGGAGTTCGTGAAAGAGGTGTAGGTTGAAGATACATGTTTAGAAGTCATCAGCATATAGGTGGTTCAGAGCCACGGATAACATTACCCTCAGCATAAATATGATGAGTGAAGACAAAGAAGTCTTAAGCACCCAGTTCTGAGGCAGGCCTGATATTTACAAGTCTGGCAGGTGAGGAAGAACTAGCAGAAACTCAGGAGTAACAGCTAGTAAAGTAGGCCCCGCTTTATCAACTCTGTCTCAGGACAGTAGTACTTTTCTGGAAGCCAAGTGAAAAAACGTTTCTGAGGGTAAGGGAGTGATCGAAGGTGTGTTAAATCCTGCTGAGAGGTTAAGTAAGATGAGTACTAGGAATGGAATGGACTTGCCAACCCTGTGGACAACTGGCCCACTGGTTATCTTAATTTTAGGGTACCAGTGGAGACGAAAACTTCATCAGAGGAGTCTTAGAATAGGAGGCGGAGTGGAGACAGCAAGTATGAGCAACTCTTTGAGGCATCTTGCTCCAGGGATAAACTGAAAGGGGATGTTAAGTCAAGGGCCAGTGGGTTTTGTTTTTGTGGTGATGTGTTATACGCATATAAGGTACAGCATACAAGCAAGTTCATATGTGTAACATACAGACAGACTGTATATAGCTGGTGAATATGAGGCAGCAGCAAAGAAGCGATGCAGGAGACCAAGGGGACAGTTGCTGTAAGAAAGAAGTCTTGAGGCAAGAAGAAGGGGTCCGGTGCTCAAATGCAGAGTGTGTGGGTAGAGGTGCAGGTGAGTTGGTAGATGTGGTGGCAGGAGATGGAAATAATTTTCTGACTGCTTCTATTTTCTTAATGAAGTAGGAAGCAGAGTAATCAGCAAAGAGAATTCGAAGATGTATATCATTTTTAAAGAGAGAGAAGAAGATGTGTGTTGTCCGGTAGAGTATGAGAGAAAATGGCCCAGGAGACTGTAGTATGATCCTTGGGTTTCATTAAGGTCGTGCTAAGGTCATGAACTTAAAGTGAAACCAGCCATCGTGGGCGGGAGGGTTTCAGCCATGTTTGATAGCTGGCTAACCAACGGGCTTACCCACTTGCTGCAGTTGATTTAGGTAATTCCTAATTTTAGCACACTTTGTGTTTCTTCCAAATAACATTTTGCTAAACTTTTTACAGATAAACCTTTTTACAAATCCATAACTCTTTAGGTTGCAGTCTTAGAAATAGAATTGCTGATTGAAAGGGCATGTTTATTTTTAAAGCTTATGCTAGAAACTACCAGAATGCCCTCCGGAAAATTATATACCACTATTTTCTCACAAATGCTAGTGTCTGTTTTCCCATGCCCTTGCTCAAACAAGGCAGTGTAGTGTTACACAATTAAACATATGCATTGTTGTAACAGTTTTGTGCCAATTTGCTAGACAAAAGGTGGGGTGCCTCATTATTCTAATTTGTAGTTATATTTATTTGATTACCAGCAAGCATGCATATCTTTGCATATTGGCCATTTTATAATTTGTTCTTTTTTAAAAAAAAAAAGTTCTGTTTTTTTTTTCCATTGATCTCTGTACCCAGCATGGGGTTTGAACTCATAACCCCGAGATCAAGAGTAGCATGCTCTTCTGACTGAGCCAACCAGGTGCCCCTATATTTGTTCTTTTGTAAACTGTCTTTTCATGTCCTTGGCTCATTTTTCTTCCAGGACATTTCTTACTAGTTTGTAGGAGCTCTTGATATATGAATGATAATAATCTATCACATACAAAGTAAATTGTCATTCACGCTGTGAATTTTTTTGCACCAGTTGTTTTATTTTGTTTCGGAGGTGCTCTCGTGTATAAAAATTAATTTTATGTTGTTAAATCTTTTGATTTCTACTTTTGTGTATATGCTTAGAAAGACCTTCCCTACCTCAAGATTAGCCGTGCACCTGTATTTTTCTTAGCTCTATTTAAAACTTTCTGATTCATATGCCTCTACCTTTATTCCTCTGATTCCCAAAGGTGTATAGTTCAGATTTAGTAGAAATTTATTTACCATTTCTTTTACAGCAAAGATTTGTGGAGAAGATGGACAGGTGGACCCCAACTGTTTTGTTGTGGCACAGTCCATAGTCTTTAGTGCAATGGAGCAAGAGTAAGTTAATTACATACTTTCCCATTTGCGTTTTCGGGATCTGGGTTCACTCAACTAAAAACAAATGGTCTCTGAGGACTTAAGTATTTTGAATGTTTACAGGATCGTATAAGCATACTCATGCTCTAAGACTACTTTGGTTAATGGTGTCTTTTAAATATAAATTATGTGAACTCTTAAAAATAATAAAACCCATGTTCATTTTTAATGTTAATATTTCCCAGGTTAAAAGAATTTGTTTTTAATTCTGAAGTCATTTGGGGGTGATGTGGGTGTAGTGTGACTCTTACAATTGGTTTCTGTTCAAACAATGCACGTGTGCAGGTGGATATCCTAATTTGTTAGTGCATGCTTTCGGCTTAATGGATGCTATTACTTCTAAATCCACATAGATTTGTTGAAACGGCCTCCAAAGTTGTTTTGTTTTGTTTTGTTTTGTTTTGTTTTAGATTAATTACTGCTGCATGCCCTTAAAAAAAAAAAATCTACATATTGATTCATTTAGCATTTCTGAAAAGGGTGCTCTGTGCAAAGCACAGTTAGATACAATGCCTGCTTTAAAGAAAATTAGAGCCTAATGAGAGAAATAGGGCATGATCTTTGGTTACCGTAATAGGAGGTAGCATGTGTCACAGAGGAAAACTACAAAGCCACCAAGAGCGGGGAGAGATTATTTCCAGGTGTAAGAACCAGGAACGACACCAGGGGAAGGGAGGTAGTGTTGACCTAGGCTTTTAAGATACAACAGGCACAGAATGGAAAGAGTGTATTTTTCCCAGTTAAGCTCTTTCCTTGGTCGTTCCCTCAAATTTTCCCTTTTTGTCCATGTGCAGGCACTTTAGTGAGTTTCTGCGAAGTCACCATTTCTGTAAATACCAGATTGAAGTGCTGACCAGTGGAACTGTTTACCTGGCTGACATTCTCTTCTGTGAGTCAGCCCTCTTTTATTTCTCTGAGGTAAAGTCTGCATTTCCTTTCACACTCTGTTAGAGCATTCCAGCCTCTGAACTAGAAATGCTGGGGCCCCCTCTATAGAAAATAACACGGAAGAGCCAAGTCATTTCCAAAAAGATCAATTGGAATGACACAGTACTATTTTAAGTTGTATCTAATGGCAAGGGTACTTTGATGGGGTGTTAGAGTAGAGAATGTGAAAATTCAGTGTAAGATAACTCTAATTTTGAAAAACTTATTAAAAATCTGCTTATAAGAGAATGCATGTTTTTTTTTTTAATTTTTTTTTTCAACGTTTATTTATTTTTTGGGGGACAGAGAGAGACAGCATGAACGGGGGAGGGGCAGAGAGAGAGGGAGACACAGAATCGGAAACAGGCTCCAGGCTCCGAGCCATCAGCCCAGAGCCTGACGCGGGGCTCGAACTCCCGGACCGCGAGATCGTGACCTGGCTGAAGTCGGACGCTTAACCGACTGCGCCACCCAGGCGCCACGAGAATGCATATTTTTGATTATTTGGAGCTGTTTTAAAAAACCACAGTTTTGGTACATGATTCCAATGCACACATATTTGCAGACCAGACTTCAGAAGAGAGAAAGAAAAGGAGCAAACTTTTTCCTACTATCGTCCCTTTTACTTCAGCCACTGGATAGGATTTCTCGAGCAATGAATATATTAATCTCTTTGAGGCATACAGTTTAGTGTAATGGTATTTGTTCAGCTTCGGCAAATGAGATGCTTTTGCTGCAAAGCAAATGAGTATTCAGTAGAGATGAGAGGATTTCCAGGCTCACAGAGCGTAACTTGGATACGCTTGACTCTGCCTCTCCCAAGAATAGAGCCCGTTCAGTTGATCTGCTTTCTCACTCCCTCGTTTGCCATCAGCCTAAGTCCAACATTTGTTCCCGTTACTCTGGCTGCGTGGGGTGATGGAAATGATCAGGTATCAAAGATTTGGTCTGGTTAGTTTACTCTGTGTATGTTTGCCAGCGAGGGACCACTAATCATCTTTACCGTGATTTTTATTCCAGTTCACTTAAGTTTGTATCCGGCAGCGTGGTTGTTTTGTTGTTAGTTTTTGTATTTTCTCCCTACAAGAATGGCTTTATGCTTTTCAATCTCAAATAACTGTAAATTGTTGACTGGCATTAACTGAACAAGTGGATCTGTTTTGGTGTTGTGTTTTGGGGTGTGTGTGTGTGCGCGTGCGTGTGTGTGTGTGCGCGCGTGCGTGTGTGTCCTGTATTTTAATGGTTGGACTTAGAGATTAGAGATGGGGAGAGAAATCTGTTTATGGTCTTTTTTTCTTCTTTTGTATTTTTCCTTCCTAGTACATGGAGAAAGAGGATGCAGTGAATATCTTACAGTTCTGGTTGGCAGCAGATAACTTCCAGTCTCAGCTGGCTGCCAAGAAGGGCCAGTATGATGGACAGGAGGCACAGAATGATGCCATGATTTTATATGACAAGTGAGTTTTGTTGATGTATTCAGCGTTTGGCAAGTGTTTGTTATTTGATAGGTACTTTGGAAATAAAATTGAATAGATTCAGTCCTTGCTGTCAAGGAGCTCACAGGGAGTAGCAGAAGAGCTACGTTTCATATGGTGTCTATAGTTTTAGGACTGTTAGAACAAAGGTCTTGGGGGAATAGGAGGTCTGTGTGTGGCAAGAAGGTTGATGGTGGTGGAGTTCAGGGAGGGTTTCACAAGAGAAAGATGAGAATTGGATCCTGAAGAACGAATTGAAATTTGCTAGCCAGAGAAGGCAGGAAAGAACATTCTAGGCAGAGGGATTGGCACAAGCAAAGTCAGAGAAACTTAGGGGAATGTGGTGGCACTTTCAGGAAACTTGAGTTTGGGTAAGTAAAACTTGGGTAAGGGAATATAAGCAGAAGATGGGGGCACCTGGGTGGCTCAGTTGGTTAAGTGTCCGGCTCCTGATTTCGGCCTGGGGCACGATCTCACAGTCAGATGATTGAGGCCCGCATCGGGCTCTGCACTAGGCGTGGAGCCTGCTTGAGAGTCCCTCTCTCCCCTTCCTTCTGCCCGGTCCGCACGCACGCGCATATGCACACGCTCTCTCTCCCCTCTCTAAAAAATAAAAAGGAAGATGAAACTAACTGGGATATATTAAAAACGGTCTTGACTCTCTATAGGCAGATCATATTTTGTGATGCAGATCTGCCCAGCCTGGTTCATACTCAGTGAATAATAGTTTTTCACTTGTCTTCACTGCAAACGAGAGGATGGCAAAATCTTACAGTGAACAGACTGAAAACATTTGGTCAGTTAAATGATAAGGCTGTGGCCAGCGCCCGTACACTGTTCATTTAATTTTCCATACTCTGTAAAGAAAAGTAATATGCTATTTGTATCCACAAGCAACTGCTAAGAGGATAACTTGATGGTAGAGGAGAATCCATGGACTGTCAGGGTTGGGAGAGAGCCGAGTGCATCTAGGTCAGTGATTCTTAAACATTGCTCTGCAAGTTCATGCTGGGTTGTCTGTGTGAAAATCACCTGGGGGCTTGTTAAAAATAGGTTTCCAGTCCTCTCTGAGAGATTCTGATTCAGCATGTTTGAGGTATGACCCAGGAATCTTTATTTTTAGAAGATTCCCGAGATGATGCTGATGAATAGCCAGATTAGGGATCTAGTCCGATTTTCCCATTTTGCAGATGAGAAAATGAAGGCCCAGAGAGGTAGTGACTTTCTCAAAGTCACAGGGCGAGTTAGTGGCATAACTTAAGCTGGAATACAGTTCTTGATGTTTTCTCACTGTTTATTTTCGTATAATGTATTTGTGGGAAATATTATATAAGAAATATTGTTACACGGACGTTGAAACAGCAGATGTTTACATTTAGAAATTTGGTCTGAGATGCTCCAAAATTCCAATCACGGCAGAGTATTTACCAACTTACTCATTACAAGATGGGAGACTAACTTTCTGTTAAGAAAAGGCTGATAACAAAAAATATATATGTATATTTTTTTATGCTGGAACAGAAAAATGGTACTAGTAGTGAGATCCTGGCTGGAGGTCAGTGACCCCACAGAGCAGAGAGTCTGTTTTCCTACTGGATCCCATTGTCACATTGGGAGCCTTTTGTAAATGAAGGTTACCGTATGGCATCCCACTCGCACTGTCATTTTGTCCAGTTCATTGGGCCATATTTGACTTTACCAATCCCTGTTTGTTTTTATGTCTTCTGTATATTATGTATGTAACATCACAGTCCTATCTAATCAGTCTTTATTTGTATCGTAGACAGGATTTAGAAGTCCCTAAGATGGTATTTTTCTTTTAATCCTCCTTTTTTTGGTATCCACTTTTATAATCAGCTTACCAAGACACTAGTTTTGCATTATATCTTAAGAAGTTAGAAATCTTTGAGGTATCACTGATCAATTACTCCTTCTCCTTTCTGCACCCAGTCATCAAGTCCTGTTATCCTATCCAAATACATCAAATGCACTTACTTGCCCCTCACTGTTCTTTTATTTTGAATTCCTACTAGTACATTACTTGGGTCTCTTAGTTATGATGGCATGTTCTTATTGTGGCCTATGCAGAGATCTTTTCTGCTCCCTTTCCAGGGGAAATAACTGTGTCTTACCCTCCTTTAAGTCGATTTCTCTCTCCCAAGTGCTGAACAGAGAATGGGTACCCATTCAGTGTGTGTGATTGATTGATTTCTTTGTCTCAGTCGACCCTCAGAAAACTTAAATGAGGGCTAAGGATGACGGAAGGAGATAATACAAAGGCAGCAAGTTGACTTTAGGGCCGTGGGAATCAAGGTTGCAGCCCAGCTGTCAGCCAGTTCTAGAGTCCTAGGTCTGCAGGCTGAATCAAGTAGCCTCATAGAAGATTCTCTAGTGTAGGTACCAAAAGTTGCTTCTACTGGCTGTGGAATTTGGTTTTACTTTCTTTGGCTGTCTTTGTACCATAGGTACTTCTCCCTCCAAGCCACACATCCTCTTGGATTTGATGATGTTGTGCGATTAGAAATCGAATCCAATATCTGCAGGGAAGGTGGGCCACTCCCTAACTGTTTCACAACTCCATTACGTCAGGCCTGGACGACCATGGAGAAGGTAACCAAGAACTTCAAAAATATTAAAACCGCAAGAAGTTTTTACTGGTGAAACCCAGAAAACATAACACGGGAGAAACCCAATGTAACAGAACAGTGGAAAATGGAAACAGGGGAGCATAGTGATTAAGAGCAGAGGCTTTGACTCTGACTTGGTATGTATTCATCTTAACCTTTATAGGCTGAGTGACCTCAGGCAGTTACTGAAATTCTTTAATGCCGCTTTCCTCACCGGTAAAATGGAGATAGTATGGATACTTAAAGTTATTTTAAGGATTAGAATGAGGTAAGATGGATGCAGTTACTATTAATATTACGCCTGACACATAGTAAGCATTAAAAAATGTCAATGGCGGGGCGCCTGGGTGGCGCAGTCGGTTAAGCGTCCGACTTCAGCCAGGTCACGATCTCACGGTCCGTGAGTTCGAGCCCCGCGTCGGGCTCTGGGCTGATGGCTCAGAGCCTGGAGCCTGTTTCCGATTCTGTGTCTCCCTCTCTCTCTGCCCCTCCCCCGTTCATGCTCTGTCTCTCTCTGACCCAAAAATAAATAAACGTTGAAAAAAAAATTAAAAAAAAAAAAATGTCAATGGCTATTAACATAGCCTGTTACCACATTTTCAAAAATGATTCGATAGCAATATTGGGTGAAGTTAGCCTAGGGGTGTTCCAGATATTTCATCAATATCTGTCAACAGGGCTAGAGTGCTAGTTTTGTGTATCATAACTTCTGGGGTATCACTGATAGCTTATTAATAATAAGGTGTTGGAATTTGTGAATGATTCATTCTTCTAATGAACTAGAGCAGATTTTGCCAGGAATTGCACAGAGCCCAGGATAAGCCCATGAGGTTCTGTTGCTTATGTATGTCATGTGTATCTAGGTGGGAAGGGGTTAAGTAAGCACTGTTAAATAATACTACACATAAAAACTGAATTTCAGGAACATGGAAGACTTACATATAAAATTCAAATCGTTAAAATCTAGTGCTAAACTGAGTAGAGTATCAGCTATGGCCCAGGGATAATTTTTTTTAATTAAACTAAATGAAATTAAAGTTAAAATCTTTCTGATCTTAAAGGAAAAGTTCCAAATCTGTATCATGTGAAGAGTGCAAGCTTTCTGGCCAAAAAAGAAAATTAAAATACACAGAAAAACAGAACATAAAAATATTTCTTATAAAACGTATATATGTGAAAGAACTTACACTAATTTTAAGAATACTATCAAGTAGATAAATGAGAAAAAGACCTAGATGGTTTGTTCATCAGTACTTTGAGAATTTCTGTGCTAGGTATTGGTGTTTCAGGGGTAAACGAAGAAATGTGGTTTCTGCCCTCTTGGAGCTCTGTCTATAAAGAAGGCACAAGTTAAAAACATGTTAAGTGCCACCGTCATGGGCTAAGTGCTATGAAGGAAAAGCTGGTGATAGGAAGTGCCAGTAATAAGCATGGGAGCTTATTCAGCATCATTAATAATTTTGAAATGCAAAGAAAAACATCCATCATTAGGCACTTATTTAACAATGATTTGGAAAAACACAATCCAGTGTTGGAAAGCCGGTCTCAAAACAGACACCTTGATATATTGCCAATGATACAAATTAGCAACATCCTTCTGAAGAGTAAATTGGCCATATATATCAAAGCTACAATGTTCATACTGTTTAACTCAATAATCACACAGCTGGTAATTTATCTTAAGGAAATCAGTTCAAAAGTAAATTATCAATACATACACCTGGACTTTAATATTTATAGCAAACCAGAAAAATGTAGTGTCAGGTTATATTCACTCCCTGCATGTTTTCTGGTCACTAAGAAGTCTAAATATCAAGTCTATGTAATAGTTTTATGGCAAGTGTTTTTCAGGGGAAAAAACCTACAAATTGTACTCTTAATTGTAGTCACAATGTAAACTGTGTATGAAGGGATAATACTTGGTAGTGTGACAAAATCATTTGTACCACCTGGTAGAACTGTGGGTAAAATTTTGTTTGCAAATAAAATTTTAGTCGTATTTGACTTCAACTTTAAAATAATGCTTGTCCTCTTTTTCAGGTCTTTTTGCCTGGCTTTTTATCCAGCAATCTTTATTATAAATATTTGAATGATCTCATCCATTCGGTTCGAGGAGATGAATTTCTGGGAGGGAACGTTTCACTGGCTGCTCATGGCTCTGTCGGCCCTCCTGATGACTCTCACCCAGGCGGTTCCGATGGCTCAGCTTCTCAGGTATTGACCAGTTTGCCTCTGCCGTTAGGAAGAAAAGTGTACAAATCCTTTCCTTCAAATACCAGTAACAGATTCTGTGTGTAAGTTTTAGTTGCAGAAGAAACGAAAGAGAAAATAAAATTAGCCTACTTACTATATGTTCTAATCAGAGTATCTGTGGTGATTAACAGTATATTATATTGTAAGGTATTGTCCTCTTTCATTCAGGCCATTATTCTGCTTGACACTCCAGCTGGTGCTCTCCGTAATCAAATAATATGCATTTAGAGCCTCTGAAGAGCTATTTAGTGTAATTACTTGGGAAATTTTAGTAACTACACTGGGGATGCTTTTTTTTATAGAATAATTGAGTGAACGCCTAGATTTGTTAATACTGTATTTCACTGAAGAGCTTTTGATTTTATTTTAAATTCTAGTGCCATTGCACATTTCCTCAGCCTTTTTTTTTTTTTTTTTTGGAGTACTTTCATGTATCAGACTTCTCTGATTCTCTCCAAAATCACATTAAATGGGTTGTCCCCAAGACAAGAGATCTAGGGAAGTGCTAAAAAGTTAACTGATTTTTTTCAAGTCACACAGTAAGTGTAGAGCCAAAACATATTCCCTGTCTAGTGTTCTTTGCCGAAATGTAGCATAATTGTTTTCTCATTACACTGTTGACACATAAATAAATAACACTTCAGATTTTTTGACACAGGGCCCTGGATAATTTTCTTAATTTATAAGACAGTACTATTTATTACCATTAACAAAGTGCTCCCCAGTACCTTTTCCTCCTTTTTAGGTTACCTGCTGAATGTGGTCGCCATTTTGTTTTTTGATACAGGCTAGAGTGTTTTGTTTTTATTTAGGCACTTACAGGGTCTAAGTGCTGACCATAAAATATAGTTTTACATTATTGGTTGAAGTATAATATATGTACAGAAAACTCCTATAACTATATAGCTTAAAGAATTTTCATAAACAGACCTAACACATGTATCCCAGTATCCAAATCAAGAAACGTAACATTACCAGTATGTCATAAACTCTCTTGTGCCCCCCTCTAGTCACTATCCTCCCTGCCAGGTAGCTACTATCCTGATTTTGATGGTGTGGGTTAGTGTTACCTGTTCAGTTATATAATTGAAATCATTCCTTATATATTCTTTCTTTATTTCTTGCATACAGCTTTATTGAAATGGAATGCACAAATCATACAGTTCATTCATTTATGTTACATAATACAGTGGTGTTTAGTATATTCATAGAGTTGCTTAACTGTCACCACAGCCAATTTAAAAGTTTTTCACCTAAGAAAAAAACAGTGTGTCCTTTACTACCCTCCAAATCCTCCACTCCTCCAGCCCTAGGCTACTCCTAATCTAATCTACTTTCTATCTCTGTAGATTGGCCTGTTCTGGTCATTGGAGCCATATGATATGTGGTCTTTTGTGACTGGCTTCCTTCACTTAGCATGATGTTTTCAAGGTTCATCCATGTTTAGGGTGTATCAGAACTAGTCCTCTTTTATGAACAAATAACATCCCCTTTTACACACATACCACATTTTGTTTATCCATCAGTTGATGGACATTGGGGTTGTTTCTCTCTTTTGGCTGTTAGGAATAATGCTGTTGTACAAGTTTTTGTGTGGATATAGGTTTTCATTTCTCTTGTGTATATACCTAGAAGTAGAATTGTTACATCAAATAATCGTTCTGTTTAACTGTCTTAATTACCATTGCTTGGGTAACAAGTTTTAAAATCAGGAACTGAGAGTCTTCCAACTTAGTTCTTCTTTTTCAAGATTGTTTTGACTTCTCGAGGTCCCTTGAGTTTTCAAATGCATTTAAGGATCAGTTTGTCAACTTCTATGAAGAAGCCAGCCAGGACTCTGATAGAGATCATATTGACTCCACAGATCAATTTGGGACATATTGCCGTCTTAACAATACTTAATATTGTAATCCATGTACACAGGATGCCTTTCACTTATTCACATCTTTTATAATTTCTTCCAATAACATTTTGTAGTTTTCAAGTATCCATTTGGTATTTCTTAAATTTATTCTAAATATTTTATTCTTTTTGATACTATTATAAATGGAATTTTTTTCTCATATTCACATTTTCATTGTAAGTGTATAGAAGTGTAATTTTTTTAATTGAGATAAAATTCACTTGACATAAAGTTAACTATCATAAAGTGTACAATTCAGTGACATTTAGTATATTCACCGTGTTGTACAACCATTACTACTGTCTGCTTCCAGACTTTTCATCACCCCAAATGGAAACCTAGCTAATGAAACATAAAGCTGTCACTTCCCATGCCCACCTGTGTTTTCTTCTAAGAGTTTAGGCCTTGGATCCATTTTGAGTTAGGTTTGCATGTTGTGTGAGGTAAGGTCCAACTTTATTTTTTTGTATGTGGGTATCTGGTCCCAGGACCATTTATTGAGAAAACTATTCTTTTACCATTGAAGGATCTTGGCATCTTTGTCAAAAATTATTTGACCTTAGGGGCGCCTGGGTGGCTCAGTTGGTTGAGTGTCTGACTCTTGGTTTCGGCTCAGGTTATGATCTCACAGTTCATGGGTTCGAGCCCAGCATCGCTCTGTCAGTGCAGAGCCTGCTTGGGATTCTCTGTCTCCCTCTCTCTCTTTGCTACTCCCCCACTCAGTCGCTCGCACGCGCTCTCTCTCTCTCTCTCTCTCTCTCTCTCAAAATAAATAAACTTAAATGTATTTATTTATTTTTTAAATCATTTGACCTTAGATACATGGGTTTATTTCTGGACTCTCAGTTCTACTTCATTGATCTACATGTCTTTTCTTATGCCAATACTAATATTGTTTTAATTATTACAGCTTAATAAGTTTCGAAATCAGAAGCTGTGAGTCCTCCAACTCACATTCTATTCATAAGATTATTTTGGCTATTCTGGGTCCCTTGCAATTCCATATGAATTTTAGGATCAGGTTTACATTGAATCTGTAGATTGCTTTGGGATGTATTTCCATTTAAGTCTTCCAGTCCATGCACATGGGACGTCATCCCATTTATTTAAGCCTTTCATTTCTTTCATTGATGTTTTGTAGTTTTCAGTGTACAAGTCTTAATACCTCCTTGAGTTATTTTATTCCTGAATATTTTGTTCTTTTTGATGCTATTATAAATAGTTACTTTCTCCATTTCTTTTTCTTCACTGGTAATGCATAGAAATATAACTTTTTTGTGTGTTGATCTTGTACCTCAACTTTACTAAATTCATTTGTTAACTCTAATAGTTTTCTTGTGGATTCTTTAGGATTTTTTTTTATATAAGGTCATGTCACCTGCTAGTAGAAATAGTTTTCTCTCTTCTTATCCTCTTTGAATGCCTTTTATTTGCTTATCTTGCCTGATTGCTCTAGCTAAAACTTCCAGTACAGTGCTGAACAGAAGTGGTGAAAGTTGGCATCCTTGTCTTATTCCTGACCTCACGAGGAAAGCTTTCAGTTTTTTAATCTTTTAATATGATGTTAGGTATGGATTTTTCATAAATGCTTTTTATTAAGTTGAGGAAATTTCCCAGTATTCCTAATTGTTGAATTTTTTTTTTTTTTTTTATGAAAGGTATTGGATTCTGTCAAATGTTCTCTCTGTATCAATGGAAGTGGTCATGTGGGTTTTGGTTTTTACTCTGTTGATATGGTGTGCTACATTAATTGGTTATCAGACGTTAAACCAACCTTGCATACCTGGGATAACTCACTTGGTGGTGGTATGTAATTATTTTTATAAGTTTGCTAGTATTTTGTTAGGGTTTTGCATCAATTCTTACACTGATCTGTAGTTTTCTTTTCTTGTGATGTCCAGTTTTGGTAACTGAGTTAACAGTAGCCTCAGGGAAGTATTCTGTCTTCTTTATTTGGGTGCCTCTTTCTTTTTAATTATTTACCCCTTCTTAGCACATAAAGAGAACCCCATGTACTGTGGAGTGTGTTCTGTAAGCATCTGTTCCTATACCTTAACCATGGATATTAACCTATACGTGAGTCATGGGTATGAACCTGTACCTTAGTCACAGATTTTAAACACGTTCCTGCCTTTCGTTACTTTAAACAATGCTACAGTGAATAATAATCTTGCATATTAGTCATTTTGTTGAGCTGAGTCTGTCTGTAATTGAATTTTTAGAAGTGGAATAACAGAAAACACATGGCTCTGGTATTTTATAGAAATAACAATTCTGACTTGCTTTTTCGTGGGATGAGGAGTGGGAGATAACATGCTGGAGGAGAACTTACTACACTCTTCTGGCTGGTCATTTTAGAAAGTTTTCTTCAGCTTCTCTTGGCCTCACTGAAGATCAAAAGTATGCGTGTTTATTTTGTAAAAGTTAGCTAAGCTATATATACCTGGATGGATGGGTGTCTTGCACCCTTGGGAACACAATGCCTGTAAAGACAGCACATTTGTTAGATCACCAGGAAAACAAACAGATTTGGCATTAAAAGCTTGGGTCGTACACTTTAATATTGTGCTTCCTCCTGCAGTTATATTTCAAGGTTACATTTCAGAATCATTACTGTTTCGCATCTCAGTCATGATGGGGTTGAGTGAAAATTATGTGTATTTCAATTACTGAAGATTTTGTACAAATCTTTCCTATCTCAAACCCAGGATTGTTTGATTCCCAAATAATATACTGCTGATTTTACAATTTCTGTTGTAGTCCAGTATGAAAAAAGCCAGTGTTAAAATTCTGAAAAATTTTGATGAAGCGATCATTGTGGATGCTGCCAGTTTGGATCCAGAATCTTTGTATCAGCGGACATATGCAGGGTAAGCTTGACTGAGTGTCTAAAATGTCTACAAGTTTATGGAGTTTTGTCTCTTTTATTTTTCAATTTAAAATTTAAAAATGTGGGGGATACCGGGTGGCTCAGTCGGTTAAACGTCTGACACGGGCTCAGGTCATGATCTCGCAGTTCATGAGTTCAAGCCCCGCCTCAGGTTTTGTGCTGACAGCTCAGAGCCTGGAGCCTGCTTCGGATTCTGTGTCTCCCTCTCTCTCTGTCCCTCCCCTACTCATGTTCTATCTCTCTTTGTCTCAAAAATAAATAAACATTAAAAACAATTAAGATTTAAAAATTGTTTCTCATCTATTATATAGCCAGCACTTACTTATATAGAGTATGCAGTAGACCATGGTTAAGAGTGAAGGCTCAGGAGTGACTTCCTGGGTTTTTATCTTGGCTCAGCCACTTATTGGAAAACTACTTAACCTCTTGGTGTCTCAGTTTTTTCATTTCTAAATTGAGATTAATATTAGTGCTTCATTGGGTTGTTCAGGGGATTAAATGAGGTAATACACAAAAAGCATTTAAAACCTTGCCTAATATCTAGTAAACACTCCATAAATGTCATTACCGTCATCATTCCACCATGCTGTACAAGGTTGATGAGTATCATGTTTATCTGACAGGTTTTAGGCTGTATCTCTTCCATGTTTCATTTGGTTCGTATGTTAGCTATTTCAAAGTCTGTCTTAAAAGCAAAAGTAAAGTACAGTGACTAATACTGTGTAACTAATACTTGAAAATGGAATAAAATTATTTCTTTGTATTTAATTAAGAATTGGAGGGCGCCTGGGTGGCGCAGTCGGTTAAGCGTCCGACTTCAGCCAGGTCACGATCTCACGGTCCGTGAGTTCGAGCCCCGCGTCGGGCTCTGGGCTGATGGCTCAGAGCCTGGAGCCTGTTTCTGATTCTGTGTCTCCCTCTCTCTCTGCCCCTCCCCCATTCATGCTCTGTCTCTCTCTGTCCCAAAAAATAAATAAACGTTGAAAAAAAAAATTTTAGAAAAAAAAAAAAAGAATTGGATGTTTAATTTATCCTGTAACAAAAAGACATCAATTCCTAGCATATACCACTTGCTGACCTTTACCACAGATCAGATCACAAAGTCACTTTCTCCTCTCTAAAGATGGCTTGATTAACATATAAACCTGTGTAAAGTCTTGATTACCCTACTCAGACCCAACCCCAGTCCCGGCATGCCATAAAAAGGGATTTCAACATGTTTAATTGAGTTTATCAGAGAGTAACAGTGATATTTGGGAGACCAGGGAGTCGTGGGATGTACTTTGAAGTAAATTAAAGCTGTGGGACCATATTGTCTTCAGAAAGCATGCTTTAGCTGCATCAATATGGTGATCTTTATCTCTTCTTTTAGGAAATGGTGGACAATAAGCCTAAATGATTTAATTCCCAAAGATTATATTTATTCTTAAGGAATCGTTGTTAGTTCATTTACTTAAAACCTGACTTAAAGCAGTCTGTCAATTGCAAGATGTTTTACTTCTGTAATTTTTTTGCTGTGTGTGTAAAATAAATGTATTTTAACAGATAATATATAAAATGGGTCAGAAATAGAGAAATAATGACTTTTCTCCATCTTTAAAAATTTTTTTTTTGGTTTTTAAAAATATTTATTTTTGAGAGAGAGACACACACACACACAGGATGAATGGGGGAGGGACAGAGAGAGAGGGAGACACAGAATCCAAAGCAGGCCCCAGGCTCTGCACAGAGCCCAACACAGGGCTCGAACTCATGAACCATGAGATCATGACCTGAGGCGAAGTTGGACGCTTAACTGACTGAGCCACCCAGGCGCCCCCCAACTTTTCTTCATCTTTAAAGATAGTTTTCAGTGTTGGTTTTTAGTCTTATGGTTTTGGCATCTTCCTGAAATGTTTCTCAAGGCAGACATATTTCTGTCTGTTGGTGTATTGCAAGCACATGTGAAATGACAACTTAACTGGGAAGGATAACCCTAAAATAAGACCCACCATGGCCCGAGTGAAATAATACATGGGCGTCACAGTTTCTTTTCCTTCTTTTAATTACAAATACATTAATCTCCTCTAAAAATTAAATGTGTAGATAAGGCTGATGTCCCCTTTGATCACACACCAGAGCTTTTTCTCTCCCCTTCCTACTCAGGATAATCACTGTGACATTATAGTATGTATTTTTGCTTGCTTATTTTTATGTAATCGGTATTACACTCTATTTGGTACCTTGTGCTTTCAGTCCAGCGAGTTTTGGAGACTTTTCTATAGTAGTATATACAGATTTACCTCATTTTAACTATTTGTAGTGTTCCATATAAAATCTTAATTATAGCTCATAACTGTGGCCACTCTTTGGCCCTTTGGGTATTGGTGAATATTCAAGTTGTTTGCGATTTTTCACTGTTACGCACAGAATGGCAAAGAATTACTTTTATATACTTCCTTGTACCAAGAGGCAGATTTTAAATTTTAATAGATCTTAACCAGTTTACCTTTATTTTCTTTATTTTTTTGAGAGAGAGAGGGCGCGAGTGAGCAAGGGGCACACAGAGAGAAAGAGAGAGAGAGAGAGAGAGAGAGAGTCCCTCAGAGAGAAGGAGAGAGAGAGAGAAGCATTGCTCACCCAAAATGGGGCTCGAGCTCACAAACCATGGGGTCATGACCTGAGCTGAAGTCAGATGCTTGATGACTGAGCCACCCAGGCGCCCGTTAACCAGCTTCCCTTTAAGAGTAGCTATATGTTTTGCATTCTTACCCCCCGTTAAGGAAGATACTCGTTTCCCCCGTATCTTTATTGACACTAAATAACATCAGATGTTTGATTTTTTACCAATCTGGATTATTGCCCCTGAGATTAAGTTGCTTTTGGCATGTTTGTTGGTCGTTCAGGTTTCTCTTCTGTGAAGTGACTGTTCGTCTCCTTTTTACATTTTTCTGTCTTTCTTAGTTACTTGTTGGAATTCTTTATGTTTTTGAATATTCATTATTGATTAGTAATCTGTTAAATAAGGTCTTTCACTGTGTTCTTTGCCTTTCAAGTTTGCTTGATATTATTGTAGCTTTATAGCATATAGAATGACTATATGTAATACATAATGACTCTAGCTCTATAGACTCTAGCTCTGTAATACACATTTTGATCTAAGACAGGTTCCTACCTTTTTATCTCCTTTACAGAATTATCTTGGCTATTCTTATGCCTTTTGTCTTCCATATGAATTTTAGAATTGTGAGCTACCTGTTCACCCATCATGTTTCATAAACCTTTCTGGGATTTTGAATGGAATTGCATTGAATTAAAGATTATTTTGCTTTCTTTAGGGGACAGTTCTATTTAAAATAAGCCTTGCTTAAAATAAAATAAAATAAAATAAAATAAAATAAAATAAAATAAAATAAAATAAAGTAAAGTAAAGTAAAGTAAAATAATAAAATAAAATAAAATAAAATAAAATAAATAAAAATAAACCTTGCTTTGAATAACATGACACAGTATTTTTAGCTTCCTACATTTAACTGAGATGCTTAAGAGTGGAATTTTTCTTTCCTTAATTTGGTATTGATCATTAGAAATCATATTTTTCTTTTTGTACTTATTTAGGAAGATGACATTTGGAAGAGTAAGTGACTTGGGGCAATTCATCCGAGAATCTGAGCCTGAACCTGATGTAAAGAAATCAAAAGGTTTGTGGTGTTTTCATACTCCCTGTTAAGCCTTTGCTCACATTAGTCAGTGACTGTAAGTGAAGGATCATTTAAGATTTAAACAGTTTATTTTATGAAATAATTGCCTTCTCTCTCACCTTGTGTTTGTAGTCACAGCTGAGCACAAGGGCTTTGTGTAATCACATCTCTGTACAGTCTCTGAATGAAAGGTATTGAATTTGCTTTACCATTCCAAAAAGCACATCTGCATGAAAAAATATTTGTCACTTTTTTATTTAAAATAGTGAATACCCAGGGCGCCTGGGTGGCTTAGTCAGTCTGACTTCGGCTCAGGTCATGATCTCATGGTTCTTGGGTTCAGGCCCTACATCAGGCTCTGTGCTGACAGTGCAGAGTCTGGGATTCCCTCCCTCTCTCTCTCTCTCTCTCTGTCTGCTCATCCCCAACTCACTCACACACTCTCTCTCAAAATAAATAAACTTAAAAAACAAAAATGGTGAATACCCAGTCCAGGTTGGATTTGAGGTTTATCTCAAGACCCTTTAATTCATTAAATTTCCTCTAATTTGCTGAAATTTCAAATACATGATATATATGTGAAAAATATGAAGAGGTTGAAATTCAAGTCCTTCATTTAAAATCACCTGGAGAGTGCTCATTTAGTTGCAAGAGTTAAACACAAATCTTTTTTGACAAGTACATTATTTGTGACTGATTTCAGCTTCCAAACAGTTGGTTTACAAGGAAGATTTTAAAAACCAATGTGGATCCATTCACTTGGGATCTAGAAATTTTTCAGTGTGATTGGATTGATAGTATTGTCTTGAGTAAAAGACACTAATTTGTAAGAAGAAAGTGTTCCAGGGGCACCTGGATGTCTCGGTTGAGTGTCTGACTCTTGGTCTCGGCTCAGATCGTGTCCTCACAGTTCATGAGTTTGAGCCCCACATCGAGCTCTGCGCTGGTACTGTGGAGCCTGCTTGGGATTCTCTCTCTTTCTCTCTCTCTGTCCCTCTCCCTCTCCCTCTCTCTCTCTCCCCCTCCCTCTTTCTCTTTGCCCCTCCCACATTCTCTCTGTCTCTCAAAATAAACTTTAAAAAAAAAAGAAGAAAATCTCCCATTTTGAGAAATGTGTTTAAAATTAAGAGCTATTATTAATCTTCCTATTGAATTTAATAGGATTGCATTCCATTTATTTATTTATTTATTTTTAAGTAAACTCTACCCCCAACGTAGAGCTCAAACTCCTAACCCCAAGATCGAGAGTCACATGCTCCAGCAACTGAGCCCAGCCAGGTGCCTGTATTATATTTATTTTTTAATTCAACTACTACTTGAGTAAGGAATGATCTTGGTGTTGGTGAGCAATCTACTTTTGGGTCAGATATACATTGACAGAGTAAGCAAAAAATGCAACAGTTGTTGAAATCATTTAGACCCAAAAAGGGCCTGTTAACCTATTTTACCCTATCAGTTTATTTAAATAATTGATTTTATTTCCTAATTTGCCAGAGAAGCCTGAGATACACAGTCAGGAAAAGTACAAAGACGGAAAGAAGTCTTCACAGTTCATTCAGTAAATAATTTTGTAGTGCCTCTGTGCACTCTTATTCACGGGGCAGGTTAGAACATACAGATCCTGCCATTAAGAAACCTAGAGTCTAATAGTGTATTTTGTTGGTAAAAAATGAGTACAAAGAAGAAGTGACTGGTAGCTTTGGAGTAGAGGAAGTATTAGACAGCCTCTGTGGGGTATTGGCCAGCAAGGGCTCTACACTGTCCTCAGGTAGCAAGAAATCAAGACTCTTGATTTTGGCTCAGATCACGATCTCACAGTTCAGGAGATCAAGCCCTGCATCAGGCTCAGGACTGACAGTGCAGAGCCTGCTTGTGATTCTCTCTCTCTCTCTGCCCCTTCCCTGCTTGCACACTCTCCCTCTCTCTCTCAAAATAAATGAATAAACTTAAAAAAAAAAAAAAAGAGGTAGAGAACAGACAAGTTCAATTTGGAACATGCTAATTGTGAGATACCATAGGACAATTTCTAAGTCCATGAATTTTAATGCCCAAGGTCAGGTTTTTTGATTATTTGCATTTTGAAGGAAGTTAAGGCCACAGGAGGGGATGAGATGCCCCAGAGAAAATCTGTCAAAGGAGAAAAGAAGGCTGGAAATGGGGTCCTGGAGAAGTTCCGTGTTAAAAGGGGAGGGGAGGCACAGAAAGGAGCCAAACTTGTGTGCATTGAAAAGGAGAGAGGGTGTTAAACATGTAGGAGACTGTCACAGTGTGGCTCTTTGGGTTAGCCTGAGAGAGAGCAGTGCACTGGGCAATTCAACAGCCATTTGAGACTTTAGGCCGAGTGTGTAATGTGGCTTTATTGACTGGTTGGCCATAAAGTTTAACTAGACCAGTCTTCAGACTTTTAGCTAATACTAAAAATTATCAAGGGAAAGGATGCAGGTTTTGCACTTTTCATGAATGCTATATATAGTTCTAATCCAGTCATTGACTTAATCAGTACCTTGCCTAAGAAATAATCTACCAACTGCTTGATTTAAGGCCGAGTTGGAAAGGATCTTATTTGTGTTAAAGAAAGGATAAGCTATGTATTTCATTAATGGAAAAAGTGGCTAGTCTATGTCTTGGTGATTCCTCAGCACCTGAGTACCTACCTATACGAAGATAGGCTTGTGTGTATCTCCTGGGGGGTTGAGGTGTGCTGTGGCCTGGACAGAGCATGGCCATTTAAAACTCTGCTGTTGGGGCGCCTGGGTGGCGCAGTCGGTTAAGCGTCCGACTTCAGCCAGGTCACGATCTCGCGGTCCGTGAGTTCGAGCCCCGCGTCGGGCTCTGGGCTGATGGCTCGGAGCCTGGAGCCTGTTTCCGATTCTGTGTCTCCCTCTCTCTCTGCCCCTCCCCCCGTTCATGCTCTGTCTCTCTCTGTCCCAAAAATAAATAAACGTTGAAAAAAAAAAATTAAAAAAAAAAAAAAAACCTCTGCTGTTAATCAGCCAATTTATACAGACCAGAGATTGAGCATGTGGCAGTGTAATTTTTACTGGAAGCCCTTTTGTACAGGAGCTGGTCTAAAAAATTTGGATATATAACAAGTAGATTGATACCTCCTGATGTACTGCTAGACTCTTATCTAAGACCAAATCCTAGTCATGGTTTTCTTTTGTTCACTTAATATTAGCTGAAAATCTAACACTAGAGAATAGTTTCTTTTTTTTCTTTTAATGTTTTTATTTTATTTTTGAGAGAGAGATCATGAGCAGGGAAGGGGCAGGGAGAGACACAGAATTCTGGGACACAGCATCTTCAGGCTCTGAGCTCTCAGCACAGAGCCCAACCTGGGGCTTGAATTCGTGAACCATGAGATCATGACCTGGGCCAAAGTTGGACGCTTAACTGACTGAACCACACAGGTGCCCCGATAATACTTTTCTTTTATTAAGTGAGGAGAATAGAAGAAAAGTCCAGAACTCTGAAACAGACTTTCAAAAGTCTTTTGCAAGTTAAATACTTCTTAATGGAGATAATCAATTTTGATTAATGGTAATATTCCTTAATGTTTTAGATGAGATTGTACAAAAAAAGAATATCCATTTCTGGAAATAGCTTTTGAATAAGAGCACCTTTTTAATGTAAAATTGTGCATGAAATCTACATTCAATTTTGGTTTTATTTACTAGGATCCATGTTCTCACAAGCTATGAAGAAATGGGTGCAAGGAAATACTGATGAGGTAAATTCTACTTTCAGTGTAAAGAAATTCCTGTTTATAAGTGGCACTTTGTCTAAGTAAAGTTTCAGGTTTTCTCTTTCCTTAGTTCCCACGTTTAAGCAACATGGCACATCATTGCTCCCTTATCCAGGAGGTAACAGGAAAGGGTGGGCCCTTTTTAGTATGTAACAATTGCCTTGTGGGGTCAGTGCAAGATCTTTTAGTTCAGAGACTCTAGCCACTGAGAAATAGACATACCTCCAAATTTCCATCAACCATCAGGCATCCATAGAAGCAAAAAGCTCAAATGTTTCTTTCCTCACTTCTGTTTGCAGAAGAGGAGGCTTGCTTTTTGACTTGTTAAGTACATTGAGAGATGTGAGTGGAAAAAGAAAAACGTTTTGATCATCTAACATGAAAATAGTCATGATGTTGGGTACCCAGTAGCTCACCCTAGAAGACAGTGAACAAATAGCTTGTTAATGTAGCATAGCCAGAGGGTGGCCCAGGTCCTATCACATACAGTTGTGTTTAGAGCACTGATAATGTAAGTCTTAACTTTTCTAATGAATAACCATTATCAACAGTTTGAAATGATTTGTTGTTGTTGTTTTAGGCCCAAGAAGAGCTAGCTTGGAAGATTGCTAAAATGATAGTCAGTGATGTTATGCAACAGGCACAATATGATCAGCCCTTAGAGAGGTCTACAAAGGTAAGAATGACATGTGTTCTGATCTAGCTTGTATAAAAACTGGAAAGAATTAAATTCCAGATATTAAAAAAGGGCATAAGGGAGATTCTGCTTCTGCCTTTGAAGGATTAGCTGCTATAGAAACTGCCCTCTCATCATGAACAACTAGAAAACAAACTAAGTGAAACAACTAGTTCCAGATATCGGACAAAAGGCAGTAGAGGTCTGTAATTCTTGAAATAAGGGTAACATGGAAGTGATCTGTAGCTCACTGCCCAGAAGCAGTTTCCAAAGTGCAGGGAGGGGAGACCTTAATAGAGTTCATAGTGTTGCTGAATTAAGGAGTTAGAAATCAAAGTTTGGATAACCTAAATTGGCTAGAAGTCATAGAGAAGAATACCAGAAAAGGAGCTTCACAGAAAGAAAGCTCCAGAGTTTCTCTCTTTATGAGAGGTCCCTTGAAGGGCTTGGCCAAATACTGATCTATACATATATTGGGTGAAAATGCCCATGGCCATGGAAAAAATAACAAATTAATTCCTGAAACATGGGTTAGGAATAGGTCCCACCCCTACTAACCAAGGTCTTGTAATGTACAAGGCATTGGTTAGTTCCTCAGAAACATTATACTTTACTGCTGGAGCTAAATTAACCCTAGAGTATGGGGCACCTGGGTGGGCTCAGTTGTTTAAGCACTGACCCTTGATTTTAGGCTCTGGTCATGATCTCATCATGGTTTGTGGGTTCGAGCCTGCATTGGGTTTTGTCCTGACAACACGGAGCCTGCTTGGGATTCTCTCTCTCTGCCTCTCTTTCTGCCCCTCTTTTGTGCGCACATGAAAGCTCTCTTTCTCTCTCAAAATAGATGAATAATCTTTAAAAAAAAAAACCAAAAGCTCTAGAGTAAAGCCCCTTAACCGAACTGAAGAGCAACCTTTGAAAGGATCAAACTGCTCTGTAAATAACAACTGCATGACAGGACAAAGGCCAGCCCGCTTTAAAGGAACACAGTAAAATTCAGTACTCAACAGTATAAAAATAACAATGTCTGCCATCCACTGCATTACTAGGTATGCAAGGAAGCAGAAAAACTTGACCCACAATCAGAAGAAAAACATAATCTATAGAAACCATACCCAGAAAATTACTGGATATAAAAGAACTCAAGAAAAAGGGGAAAAGGAAAGAAAGAATCCATGGGACAAATAGAAGACAAATAGCAAAATAGTAGGTTTAAGTGAAATCCTATTAGTGGTCATAGCAAATGTAAATGGTCTAAATAGTTAAATCAAAAAAAAAATAATAATAGTTAAATCGGAGATTGATTAGATAATGGCAGATGCTATCTGTAAGAAGCCTGCTTTAAACATAAAGACTTAAAGTAAAAACAGGATGGAAAAGATATATACTATGCAGACATTAATAAAAGTAATTTGGACTGCCCATATTACTACAAGTCAGAGTAAACTTCAAAACAAGGAATATTACCAGGCACAAAGTACATTTTACATGATAAAAAGGTCAGTTGATTAAGAAGACGTCAAGAGTCCTAAATGTGGGGGCACCTGGGTGGCTTAGTCGGTTAAGCATCTGACTTTGGCTGAGGTCATGATCTTGCAGTTTGTGAGTTCGAGCCCTGTGTCGGGCTCTGTGCTGACAGCTTGGAGCCTGGAGCCTGCCTTGGATTCTGTGTCTCCTCTCTCTGTACCCCCCCAACTTGTGCTTGGTCTATGTCTCTCAAAAAATAAAAAACGTTAAAAAAAAAAAGAATCCTAAATGTGTATGCATCTAACAACAGAGCTTGAAAACACATAAAGCAAAAGCTGATAGAACTACAAGGAAAAATACACAGATCCATAATGACTCTTGGAGATTTCAACAGCCCTGTCTCAGTAATAGAACAGTGTTTAGAAGACTCGAATAACAATGTCAACCAACTTGACCTAAATGACTTGTAGAAAATAATGCATCTAGCAGCGCAGAATACACATTATTTTGGCCTACATATAGAACATTGACTGAGATATACCATATTCTGGGCCATAAAACAAGTTTCAGTACATTTTGAAAGATTGAAATCCTACAATCTGTTTTCTCCTCACAAAGGAATTAAACAAGAAGTCAGTTAGAGAAAGATATGTGGAAAATTCCCCAAATATTTGGGAATTAGGTAACATACTTCTAAGTTACCTATTAGTCAAAGAAGAAATCAAAATAGAGGTTAAAAATATTTTGGACTGAATTAAAATGAAAATACAGCATAGTATTTGTGAGATACTGCTAACACAGTTCTTAAAAGGAAATTTATAGCATTAAATGTTTATGTTAGACAAGAAAAGAGTCTCAGTCTTCTACCTGAAACTAAAAAAATGAGTAAATTAAACCCAAAGAAAGAAGGAAATAATAAAATAAAAAGTGATTATCAATTACATAGAATACAGGCAGATAATAGAGAAAAGTCAAAAGCTGGCTCTTTATTTATTTTTTAATGTTTATTTATTTTTGAGACAGAGAGAGACAGAGCATGAACAGGGGAGGGTCAGAGAGAGAGGGAGACACAGAATCCAAAGCAGGCTCCCGGCTCTGAGCTGTCAGCACAGAGCCCAATGTGGGGCTCGAACTCACGGACCGTGAGATCATGACCTGAGCCGAAGTCAGACGCTTAACTGACTGAGCCACTCAGGCGCCCCTAAAAGCTGGCTCTTTAAAAAGATCGATTAATGTGATAAACCTTTAGCCAGACTAATTGAGGGGGGAAAAAAAGATTAGACATGAATCACCAATACAAAGATTGAAAGGGGACATCGCTACAGAACCTAAAGTTATTAAAATGATATTAGTGAACTATTATGAACAACTTTATGCTAATAAGTTCAACAGCTTGAATGAGATGGAGAAATTCCTTGAAATATATAAATTACCAAAACTCAGTAAGAAATGGTAACCTGAATAATGCTGTATCTATTAAATTGAATTTGAGGAGTTAAATATATTTATATTTATGATATTATCATATTGATACATTATATATATGTACATATGTATAAAATATGAGGAACTCAGCAGACAAAAAAATTGTTTTCAAATTAAAAAATGGGCAAAGGACCTGGAAAGATAGGCCAAAAGATACATGCAAAGGTGCTGAATGTCACTAATCATTAGGGAAGCGCAAATCATAACCACAATATGATATCACCTCACACCTGTTAGAATGACCGTTAGCAAAAAAACAAGCAGTAACAAATGTTAACGAGGATGTAGGAGAAAGGAATCCTTGTGCACTATTGGTGGAAACGTAAATTGGCACAGCCATTATGGGAAACAGTATGTAGGTCCCTCAAAGAACTAAAATTAGAACTATCGTATAGATCTAGCGATACCACTTCTGAGTGTATATTTGAAGAAAATGAAATTATTACCTCGAAAAGATATCTGCACCCCATGTTCATTGCATATTTAGAATCCTATGCAAGAATCCTAAATGTGTTACATGGAAGTAACCTAAGTGTTCATTTATGGTTGAATGGATCAAAAAGAATGAAATCCTGCCAGGGCGCTTGGGTGGCTCAGTCAGTTAAGCGTCCGACCTCGGCTCAGGTCATGATCTCGTGGTTTGTGAGTTCAAGCCCTGTGTCAGGCTCTGTGCTGACAGCTCAGAGCCTGGAGCCTGCTTCGGATTCTGTGTCTTCCTCTCTCTCTGCCCCTCCCCTGTTCGTGCTCTGTTACTCTCTGTCTCAAAAATAAATAAAACATTTTTTAAAAAAAGAATGAAATCCTGCCATTTGTGACGACATGGAGGGGCCTTGAGGACATTTTACTAAGTGAAATAAGTCAGACCTATAGAAAGACAAATATTGTGTGATTTCACTTGTATGTGGAATCTGAAAAAGTCAAACTCCTTGAAACAGCAAAAATGGTAGTTGCCAGGGACTTGGGCTGGAGGGGGTAGGGGAAATGAGGAGATGTTGGTCAGAGGCTACAAACTTCGAGTTACAAGATCGATTCGTTCCGGAGAGCTAATGTACAACATGGTGACTATAGTTAACAGTAATTGTATTATTTTCTTGAAAGTTGCTAATAGAGTAGTTCTTAAGTATTCTTACTATTTTTTTTAAGCTATTTAGATGAGGTGATAGATGTAGTAACCACTATATATATCAAATTATCATGTTATATACTTTAAACTTAAACAGTATTATGTCCATCATAGCAATGAAATTGGAGGGTAGAGGAGAGAAATTGAATTTCCTTCCCACAAAGAAAACCCCAAGCCCAAAAAATAAAACAGAAATAATACTGATTCTAGACAAAGTTCCAGAAAATTGAAGAAGAGGTAATATTTCCCAACATAGTCTATGAGGCTAGCATTACCTTGACACTAGACAAAGACATTACAAGGAAAAAAAACTACAGGCTAGTATCTCTCATGAACATACATACAAAATCCTTGACAAAAATACAAGGAAACCAATCATCAATATATAAAAAGAGTAGAACACCATGACATGTGGAGTTATCCCAGGAAAGCAGGTTTGCTTTGATATTGGAAAACCAGTTGCTGTTACTCATCATAAAAAGAAAAGCATATGATCATTTTAATAGATGCAGGAAAAGAATTTGACAAAATTCAGCCATTGATGACAAAACTCTCAGAAAACTAGGAACAGAACAGAACGCCCTAAACCTGGTAAAACTGACAGTTAACATCATTTTTAATGGGGAAAGACTCCATGATTCTAGGAAAAAGGCAAGGACACTTGCACTGGAAGTCCTAGCCAACGCAAAAAGGCAAAGAAGAAAAGACCTATAGATTGTAAAGGAAGGAGTAAAACTGGTTTTCTTTGCAGAAGACCTCATCACTTACATAGAAATTCCTAAGGCTACTTTATCGAGTATGGTAGTGACTAGCCATGTATGCACAATACAGAACATTTCCATTATCACAGAAAGGACTGTTGGATAGTAGTATCTGAAGGAATCTACAAAAAAGCTATTAGAACTAAGGTTAGCAGTGCTAAAGGATATAAGGTTAATATACAAAAATGAAGTACATTTCTATATACTAGCAATTAACAGTTGGAAATCGAAATTTAAAAAACGATACAATCTACAGTAGCATCCCAAAACATGAAATTCTTAGGAATATATTTAATGAAATATGTATAATATTCGTACATTATAAACTATAACTGAGCAGAATTAAAGATTTAAATAAAAACAAATCATGTTTGTGAATCAAAAGACTCAGTGTTGTTAAGGAGCCATTTCTAGGGGGGATGGGTTAGATGGGTGATGGACATTAAGGAGGGTACTTGTTGGGATGAGCATGGTGTTGTGTATACATGATGAATCACTAAATTCTCCTGAAACCATTATTACACTAAATATTAACTAACTTGGATTTAAATAAATTAAAAAAAAAAATTTAAAGGTGCTTTTTCTTTTTTTTTTTTTAATTTTTTTTTTTCAACGTTTATTTATTTTTGGGACAGAGAGAGACAGAGCATGAACGGGGGAGGGGCAGAGAGAGAGGGAGACACAGAATCGGAAACAGGCTCCAGGCTCTGAGCCGTCAGCCCAGAGCCTGACGCGGGGCTCGAACTCACGGACCGCAAGGTCGTGACCTGGCTGAAGTCGGACGCTTAACCGACTGCGCCACCCAGGCGCCCCTAAAGGTGCTTTTTCAACCCGGGATAGTGATGGTGGTGGTTTAGGTATAACTGACATATAACATTATATTCTTTTCAGGTGTACAACATAGTGATTCAATATTTGTGTACATTGCAAAATGATCACCACAATAAGTCCAGTTAACATCATCAGCATACATAGTTAACAGATTTTTTTTTCTTGTGATGGGAACTTTTAAGATCTGCTCTCTTAGCAGTTTTCAAATATGTAATACAGTATTGACTATACTCTCCATTCTGTACAAGATTATCCAAGACTACTGATAGATTCAGTACAATCACAGTAAATATCCCAGCAGGCTTTTTTGTAGAAATTGACAAGATGATTTTAAAATTTATTGGGAGATTTAAAGTAACTAGAATAGCAACAACAACAACAACAACAACAAGAAACGTGGTGGGGAGGGAGACAAATTGGAAGACTAACCCTACCTAGACACATTTACTGTAAAGCTGCATGATTACGACAGAGTGATATTAGCATAAGGGTAGACGTATAGATTGTTGGAACATGTAGAGAGTGCAGAAGTAAACCCAAATATATGAAGTCAATTGACTTTTGACATATGTGCAAGCTAATCCAATGGTAAAAAGATGGTCTTTTTAGTTTACAGTTTACAGTTACATATATATATCTGTGTGGGGGTGGGGTGGGGAGCGAACCTTGTTCCTTATAGCATATACAGAATCAGCTCAAAATGGATCATAGACCTAAATGTCAGAGCTAAAAGTAAAACTCGTAGGAGAAAATCTGTGATTTGGGGTTAGGCAAAGATTCCTTAGATCATACTAAGCATGAGCCATAAAGGAGAAAAAGCGTTAAATTGATCTTTATCAAAAGTAGAAACTTGTACTTGTCAAAAGACACTGTAAAGAAAATGAAAAGGCAGGTTACAGACTGGGAAGTGATATTTGCAAAACAACTGTCTGAGAAAGGGGTTGTATCCACAATATATAAAGAACCCTTAAGCTCGATAATAAGCCCGACAATCTGGTATTTTTCAAATGGACAAAAGATAAACAGACATTCCACCGGAGAAGATATACAGATGGCAGATATTCGCATGCAGATGTGCTCGACATGTTTAGTCATAAGAGCAATGCAAATTAAAGTCACAATGGTACACAACTACAGACCTAATGGAATGGCTAAAATAGACTGACAGGTGAAGGATGTAGAGCAGTTTGAACCCTACCATATTACTGGTGGAAATGCAAACTGCTATAGCCACTTTGAAAAACAATTTGGCAGCTTTTTAAAAAGTGAAATATATACTAGCCAGGTATCTCCTTGGGAAACTCTGATGGCAGACTTTTTTTTTTTTTTTTTTTTTTTTTTTTATTTAAGTTTTCTTCTTGGGCTGATCATATTTCCAGAGAAAACACTAGCAGTCTCCAGCCTGGAGGATGAAGGCCAGGCTACCAAGGAGGCAAGTGGGAAAAAGCTAGGGAAGTCTCATTATTCTTATTTATACCTCTCCTTAATCCCCCTCTTTTCAGGACAGAATCCTTGTACTTGGTCATGTTTGGTGTAGGTCAGCCCAGAGACCCTCTGTCTTACTCTGCTCAGAGAAGAAATCTCAGATTTTTCTGCTGAGATTGGTTTCGGGGCAGGGGCTGGTTGAGCAGAATTGCAGAATAACTGTAGATTACTAACTTCCAAAACAGGCTTTTAAGAAATCCTTGTGTTTGCACCCAGCCCCCATTCCCTTTACGAGACATACTGGTGCCACCAATTCCTGGACTTTGAGGGATTCTGCATTGTAAATCAGGTTGCTTCTCCACTTTTTCCACTTTGCTTTTAGGATTGAGTCTTTTGGACCAGCTAAGTCATTTACCACTCATACATTTGCTTCCAGCTTCTGCAAGTTTGTTCTGCCTCTTCTCTCACTTTCCCCACTTGTGTGAATTTTTGTTTCTTTTTCTTTTTCTTTTTTTAACTGCTATTTTAGGAAGGAGTGAATTGAATGAGTGCGATCAACTCTCCATCTTTGTCTGAAGGCCCGCAGCTGTAATGGTTAGGAAATTCTGACTTGCCACAAGCTAATACTGTTTCTCAGTAGCTTCTCCAGCTAGTTCTAGTAGTACCTGTGAGAAGCCATGCAAGTAACCGTTAGCAAGTTGAAGGCAGCCACATAGCGTACCCCCCAGTCCTCTCCTCAAGCCAAACATTCCCAGTTTTTTCAACAGTTTTACTTTCCCTAACTTGAGTTGATCACAGAGACTTAATGCGAGAGGAGAATATCTGCTCATGTTCATTATGAAGGCATTAAATGACTCCTCTATTATTTATGTTAGCAAAAATCAGGAATCAGAATCAAATACGAACGTTCAGATGACACCCCATATAACCCACAGTAGTTTGGAGGGCTTGAATTTAAATTTAGGTCCATCATCACCCTTTCCTTGCCAACTTTTTACTCCAAGCACTGTCATTACCAGAGGTTGGTTTAATTTTGAACTTCACACTGAGCCATTTCACACCAAAGCTCTGTTCACTGTGGCAGATTCCATCCTTTTTTCTGTGTAAGGGTGGTAATTTTTGTCTATCTCCACTGGCTCAGTCAAACCCAAAATAGCAAAGAGCAAGATAAAGGTGTATGAAGTTGTGATTCCCCATTATCGTTGATGATCAAATGTTTGACAACATGAAAATGTTCTTTTCAACACCATTTTAGAAAGCAGGTATTTAAAATTGGGGCTTTTTATTTGAGTTGTATGTTCGGATTTTATTACTGTGTGCTTTTCATTTTTAAAATATTACGTCTATTTTGCTATATTTTGTTTTTTAAGCTCGCTAGCCTTCTCTTTGGCTGGCTAAGATGACCATCCTGTGTGTCCTTTAGGGATCAGCAGTGTATTGGTATGGAGAAAGTGCTGGGCTAACAGAACGTCTTCAGTCCACTTTTAGTGAACATGTGGGACCTTCTGCAAGTTGCTTTCCTTTCCAGTCCCCATTTCCTCATCAGTAGATCAGAAAAATTGGACAAGACAGTCTCATAAGATCTCTTTCTGATTCTCATTCTATGATTATATGAATGTGAGCTGCTTCCACGAAGGAGTGCCCAGCCTCTCTCTAGCCTATGTTGATGCCTCTGTGCTCGGAATCGCCTACTCTGCGCGTGTCTAAGAAACATACTTGGGAATGTAACGTGAACTACCTCACAGCATTACTGAGTTATTTCGTGTGTATCTGTCCCCAAGACCTTGTCTCCCCGGGATGTTTGTTCCCTCCCCAGAGCTGTGAGTACAGGGGTCTCAGCCTCAAGATCTTGGTCTTAGGAGGCGAGGTCAGAGTTCTTTTTCTCTTTCTGAAGGTGTTGGAGTATTCTGTATTATGGCTCTCCTGATTTAGTGAATCCTCTAAGGATCGTCATTTAAGTTGTTTGGGGTTTTTCCCTGTTACAGACAGTACTTTAATGAATGTCTGTGTGTAGAAGTCTTTACCCTCTCTTACAAGTATGCTGTTGGGTTAATTGCTAGAAGCAGAATTACTCTGTCAAAAGGTAGATATTTCGTTCTAATAATCTGGTGCCAAAATGGAAAGATAAAAGCAAATCTGGTTGCCAGTCTAGTCCTGGTAGGTAATGCTGGGGTGAGTTGCTTGACCTTTTTAAAGCTTCCATCCATTCATTCATTCATTCATTCATTCATATGTAAATGAAGGTAGTTCTAGTATTCTGCCTCAAGTGGCTGTGGTCCAATCCTGGCTGTCCTGGATGCTGGTATATAGTAAACACTAGGTTTTAATTCCCTTCTTAATCCGTAATAATGTCACTGGCTGTAGAAATGTACGTTACCTTTTTCTTTTTCTTTTTCTTTTTTTCAGCTATGACTCAAGACCTGAGATAAAGGAAATCTGCTTTTGAAAAATAAGAGAACTTTTTTCCTTTGGTTGGATTCTTCAACACAGCCAATGAAGACAAAGCACTGTATTTCTTTTCACGAATATATCACTGTTGTTCCCAAGAAAGAATGGCAGACAATCCTAGACTTCCATCCTAAGCAGAGTGACATGTAGACATTTGCTGCACATGATGTTCACACAGTGAAAGTCATAAAGAGACAAAGTGGTATTGTTTACATTACTAGAAAACTAATAGCTTTCCAATGGCAATAACCCATTTACGAAACAATTTTAGCCCACTGGAATAGACAGGGACCACATACTGTGGGAGGCAGACAAGCGCAGAGCGGATACTCGATGCCCATTCTGTAGCGGTAACCCATCCCTAAAAGTATCATAAAGCAGGTACCAGAAGTGCTTTGCTTTGGCCTCCTAAACCAACAGGTGAGTCAGCCCCTCCGAGAGCCAGGCAGCTCAGGGAGGCAGCGTGGTGCTAGCGGGTTGTTTTCCTTCAGCGGCATTGTGCATTCGCAGAGGCATTAATTTGGAAGGAAGCCAGCTGATAGGTCATCTCAGTGACATTGTCCTTCCCTGTGGTGACAGCATACACTTTTTACATTTTAATTGCTCCTAAAATGCAAATGCAGTATACTGAAAACCAGGCTCTCCCCTGCTAACAAAAAAGAGAAGTCTCCTTTGCTTTGCGCATCAGGACTTGCTCTTCTGGAATACTCCTCCAGGTTACTTCACTTTCCCTTCAGAATACGTGTGGGAAGGAATGTACAGTAGCAGTCACTCCCGTTTCCCCTGTGGTACCTTGAACAAAATGTTTGTTCCCAGACTACTCGGTTTTTGTTTTGTTTCTTCTTTTTTCTTTCTTTTTTTTTTTTTTTTTTTTTTTTTTTTTTTGTAAATTAAGAATATTGACAAGCAAGGGTTGGGGGCGGGAAGAGCACCCAGCCTCGGCTGCCTCCCCCTTCTCCGCTGTGCAGTTGGTGGCCTTTTTGCTTTCTGTCTTTCGGATAGTAGGCGGCCCCCTGCCTGCCCTTCCACTCAGCCGGCTACCGGGTCCGGACCTCGCCGCCGTCAGCAGGCCCGCCCCATTGGCGAGCACACTCCACTGGCCAGACGGTGCCAACGCCTCCTCGCTGCGCGTGACTGTTTGAGGGGAAGGAACGTTCTCTTAGGCGTTACTGCTTTTGCTCAGACTTTGCAAAAAAGAAAACAGAAAAAGATATATAGATATATATATATAAATATATAATTATTAATCACCTCTGTCCTTGAGAAAGTCTTGAATGAATAGAGATTTTATTCCATTGCAATATTTGATTGTATAGAGGCACACTGTTTCATCGACAGAAGAAGCAAAAGGCTGTGTATAAGTTTTTGGTACTGTGTACCACCACTGTTATTCTTCTAAAGCGAAGTATCCATGTACTTAACCCATATTCTATTTAATTGTGTTTGATTTTAAAAATATATATATATATGAATTATATTTAAAATGGTGTCAACTTTCTGCTTTCAGGGCACTCGTGGCTCTTCTCCTGAAACGTGTTGATTCTTCCAAATATTTCCATTTGCTTTACAAAAACCCAGACACGAGCCACTCCTGGACTAAGCCCTGTGTTTGGAGTGAACGGCATAGACCTGAGGTTTTATTAGGTGTATTTGCTGTGACTAACTCGTTTTGTTCTTTTAACACAATGTTGCCATCCTTTCACTTTGCTTCAACCTTTAAGTAAGAGAAAAGCAATATAAAGGTCATAGAATAAAATGTGGTTTTGGGTGACTCTTGCTGCCTCTGCATGTTTTGGAATAACAATTTCTGTAAGACTCTAGGCTAATTTAAACTACTGCTTTTAGTTAAGAATATATATAGTCCTTTGTATACATTTTGTGCTTCCGAGCTAGAGACATCAGTGGTTGTAAGATTCTTATATAGAGAAGAGTAGCAAGTTTGAGACTTGGTTACTTTTTTCTGCCCCACCTGCTGTGGGACACAGAGGCAGATGGTGGCCTGAAGTTACTAGGCAGAGTTAATATTTGATGGGAAGTAGATCCTTGGACTTCTTTTAACATTGGAATGGGATGCGATATAACATTGAGCACACAGTGTGCTCCAGGCTCTATGCAGCGCACCCACAAAATATGCTGCCTCTGCAGGCTCTCATAGGTTCAAGGAATCATTTGCACCCCATCCTTATCATGTTGTTGACATCAGCGCAAATCGTTAAGGAAGAAGAGGTGTTAGTAAAGCAGTGGTACCTTCTGTAACTTACCACCTCTTCAATCACTCCTGTAAGATTTGATGAAAAGTGAAAAGCAAATGTCAACTGAGTCCAGTGATGAGTGATAAAGCAGGGAGCAATGTTTTGCAGCTTTTTCTCCTTGGGTTTCAGCATTCAGTAGAGCTTTATGAAATGGAGGCAATGTCCATTTCTGGAGCTGTGACTAGTTCAGTAAGAATTTGGAGGGGAAGGTCACTCTGGATTGCAGAAAATTACAATCTTCTTTGTTGTCTTATTTCAGTACAGCTAGCTGAGCACCTGCTGAAGCAGCTGACCTTTTCTCTCTAATGACACTGTTTGGGGGATACCCGCCTGACTCACGCTGACATGTCTGCACACAGTGACCTTTTCCCTTTCCTCCCTCCCCCACACACCAGTTGATTAGACCAGGGTGGAACTGACCCAAACAGGCCCAAGAAAATTCTTTATCTTAACAGTTTTGCAAGGGGAAGGAGAGAGACCCTCTGGGATTGCAGCTGGTATGGGGCGCTTAGAAAGCGGGGACCCATGAGCTGCACCGCATGACAGGCAGAGAGGCTTAAAATAGAAATACAGAAACATGAGTGCGAGTGGGCCAGAGGGGCCACCCCAGTGGCCTCGAGGACTTGGCTGGCTTCTGGATCTGGTTCTCCATCTTTGCTGTGAACTCTACTAATCCCTCAGGTATCCTTAGAATGCATTTTGGCTTTTCAAAAGTCAGTCTGAAGTGAATTTTTATTACATGCAACCAAAAGGACCTTGACTAAAGTACTGCCAGATTGTTCTAATTACTCATGATCGTGTCCTCAGTGTGTTTGCAAAGTACCACTGAATTCTGGAGCATTCTTCTTTCATAAACCTTCCTTGGTCATTTTGTGAATTCTCTCAAAATGGAATCCTAAACTAATGGAGCTAAAAGACACTCCCTCATTTATATAGGGAGGAGTTACTCAGGCCTGGGAAAAGGGGAGGTCTAAGTCCCTGTTAGAACTCAGGCCTTCCGGACCAGGGCCTCCTCTTGTTTCCCAACATCCCTCCAAGGGATAAGCACCATCCCCGCTTGTAGCAACTATAATAAACCCAGAAATAGAGGGCATTCTATCAATGAGTAACATAATAAGCTTCAGATGATGAGAGGGCAGTGATTATCAAAAACAGGTCAATGCTGACCACTTCTACATACAAGGCAAGATGTCTGGCCTTTGGTTGGAGCCATAAGTAGGAGTAAATCCCAGCAAAACCCTCAAGTTTACAACTTAGGAGACCCACACTAAGAGTCACCCTAGGAGGCCACTTACAGATTAGCACTGTGGGCCTTTACAGGGTCTCTGCTTGGGCAGGGTTGAGAGTGGTTCGGAGTCAGAAGTATGGTACTATATGGATCTTGGGCAGGTGGGAGTGGCCACGGAGAGTGTTGGAGGGATCAGTATGAGCAAAAGCCTGGAGGGCATTCATGCTCAGGGAGAGAGAAGTTCCATCTGCTTGCTTGCCTATCACACAGGGTAGTGAGTATTTCTGCCTTAGTAATTTTATGCAACTAATTTATCCTCAGCCTGTTCCCTCCAAACTGCCTGCTCTGGCACAGTGAGGGTATCTGAACTCACCTGGAATAATGAAGCCCCTTACCGAAGAGTGGTAGCGCACTGCTCCCAGGCACCGCCGCGGCACCTACGGGACTATTCGTGAGCACAGGCTGGGGTAGCTGGGCCCCTGGGGCCTATGTTGGGCAGGCAAGGTGCCTAGAAAAAGTGAGTTTGAGTTCAGCTCCTGGCATTTCCTTTGACTTCAGGTATGAGTCCCCCATCTTGAATGTGCCTTCAGGCTCACCTCTAAATGGTCCCAAGCTGGCCTCTGCCTGCACCACAGCAAGAGGCCTCTGCGCCATGCCCCTCGAGGACAGGCCCTCGCCGAACAGTGCCAGCCTCCACACTATGTGTAGCTCTGAGTGGCGGGCCCAGCCTTGTGTGCTCATCAGAACCCAGCGGGCTCCACCCAGACCCTAGATTTCCTCATCTTGACAAACAACCTTTGTTCCTTCTAATGACAGAGCCCCTGGTTTAGCAAATGTTCGCGAAGTTAGAAGTATTTTAATGCCTACTAAGTGCCAGGCACTATTTACAGTGCAGGGACGGGAATAAAACAAACTTGTGAGCCCCTGCCACTTCCATTCTACCGAGGAGGTGATAAGAAGCTGGAAGCTTCCGTCTATACTGTGTGCTGGGATTTTTTGACTCAAGATTGCCTTTTGAGCCTATGATTTAACACCCTTTCCTTACAAAGCCCTGCAGGAAGTCACTAGGCTTTCCCGACCCATAAAAGAGACCCACAGGCTGAAGGGGGCCCAACGAGGGGTCGCTCTGCCATGGAGCACCGGGCTGACAACAAGGAGTGGGTACCTTGACGTCTGAGGCCATCAAGCAAGTCTAAGTAGGGTAGGCTTAGCAGAGGCCAAAGGATCAGTCTGAGCCCCATGGGGCTCTGTGCAGAGTTTCGGGAACTGAATTCTTAGAAACAGAAACACAAAAGCTAGTGTAAAGTCATCACATGCACGTGATATAAAATCCCAGCCTTGGAAGAGCCTATTGAGCCGACTCCAAGAGGTAGTCTCCTCATTCTGAGTTCGACTTTAACGATAATGACAGTAACCGGCACAAGCAAATGTGCCTACACTGTGCCAGGCGCTGGTAAGGTAAGTGCCTACTTGCCCTTGTATGAGGGGGGCGGAGGCTTCAGAGGTGGAAAAAGCGAGTCCAGGCGGTGAGACTGCCCGCTTCCCCACTGCTCTGCCCCCCTGTAAATCGTCACGGGCTCTTCTCTCATTGTGCTGCTGTTGCTTCGTGCTGACGAAAGCCTGGCATAGATGCTCTAGGAAAACGGCATCGTGGCTTTAAAATGGAAAACACTCCATCCGTTACCTGAAAGCAGTAAACTTTCACGTGCATCAGGATCCCCTGGAGAACTTGTTAAGACATGGATTTCTGGGCCTAACCCCGTGTCTGATTGAGTAGGTCTGGGGCAAGGGCTGAGGATTTGCATTTTTAACACATTCCTAGATGACGCTATTCTGCTCTGGAGACCAGACGTTTGACTTTGGAGAATCACTGCCTTTAAGTCTTTCCCTATAAATTGGGAACTGAATGTTTTCATTCCGTTATTGGAAATGCCCGTGCTACACAGAAACGCAATTTGAGTCTTTGTTACTCATGATTCCCCAAAACAAGCACACGCATCTCTTAGTGCTTTCAGATGTTGGAGCCAAGCACACCCAAACGCCACCCCACTGTCTCAGTCACTGGGCAGGTCTGAGACCATCGAGGCAAGTCTCCCCCTGGGAGTAAGGCCATAGGCTAGTCTCAGCCCCCATGGTCTTGAGCTCCCACCCCTGCCCCGCCATGCGCTGTGCCTTTGCTGGGGACAGTGCACCTGACATGCTTCCTTAGGGCTGAGACTGAGCTGGCATCCCACCCAAGGTGCACAATCCCTGTCTGGTCCATTTTCTTCCAGTTCTTCCCCCAGGTCCTTGATGCCGACTGCCCTCTGAGGTGTTGACCGTGACTTTCCTGACCTGCCTGTCTCTCCCTCGCTGCCCTCGTCAAGTCCCTCCCGTAGGACACTGGTACCTTGCTCTTCCTTTCTTCCCCTCTTCACCTCCCTCCTCCCCATTTCTTCCTTCAGCACATATTTCCTGAGGACTCGTTCTATGCCTGTTCCAGTTACTGGGGGTACAAGCAGTACCCCTCCTTGCAGCCTAGAAGACAATGGTAATTCATGCGATGAGTGTTACGGGAGAGAGAGCGGGGCATCTGTTGGGGGCAGTCTAGGCGGACCCCTCTTGGTGAGCCACAGACCTCCTGATCATCTCCGTCTTCCTCCAGAACATGTGCATTCTGCACATATCTCTTTCCTCAAGATACTGTTTCTTCCCAGTCCCAACACATGCAGGCCACTCCTCCCCCCTTAAACCCACAACTGGACCACGACTTCATGTTGGCATGGTTCACGACTGCCCGCTGCTGGCCAGGGCTGTGTCCATATCCTTGTTCCACGTCCCCCATTGCCACATGGGGAGGCTGTGCTCTCATCTCTGCCACCTGCCCAGCTCCAGAACACTCCTGGCTATCTTTCTCCACGTGTTTGACTCATCACCGCATCATTCCCACCCCAAGAAACCACTGTCCATGATGATGACCCACCCAGCAACCCAGCTTAGAGTTCTTTGGCCTTCCTCGTTCTCAAGAACGTATTTTACTCTTCAGTCACACCCATAACTAGATTTTGTCACCTCCTGTCAACTGCTCTACCTCTGGTTTCCCCTCACATTTTAGCCCACCGTAATCCCAAACGGTGCAAGTACAGTTCTAGATTCCTCCCATTGGGATGCGTGAAAAGGGGGCGGCGTGGGGGGGAGGGGGAAGAAACCTAGTAAGTATCCCAGAGGGGTATGCCCTCACTATTATAAGAGTTAGGTTTTGTAAACCAGCCTTTCAAAGAGCAATTTCAAGAGCAATAAGTGACTACTTTC